AAAATCCTTGAGTTCAGTCCAGTTTACATCTAGAACAGTCTGACTAATACACATCTCTTAATGAGGTGTCGACGCAGTTCAATGTTTCTCTGATCTGGATTTTCGGTCTTAGTGATATTTTCGGCAATTGCAAAGAAGACAGGCTAGCCAGACGGGGTTCTTTAGGAAGCTATTCGAAACACCTAAACAATCTGAGCATATCGTTGACATCAAGCAAACTATCACTGAGTTCTTCCTGTCCCGAACGTTTTAATAAAAAATGAGAAGACTCTACGATATGCAGACATCTGTGTGCAATTTACCCAAGCTCCAATAAAATTCAAATTTCTCATTGAAATGCCCCGCAGAGATGTCAATCTTAGAGTAGGTTTAGTTACAGGTCACTGCATTTTAGGTAACCATGCTTGAAACTTGAATATCCCGTTCAATTATATCTGCCGGAGTTACAGAAAGGCCTCCCATCTGCTTTGTTTCTGTCCAGCACATGGGCTGCCCTACCACTTTATGTGTTTTCATTTTTGAGGATCTTGGTGAATTGCAAGACTTAATTAGAATTATATGTAAGCTTTGTTTTTTAATATACGGTAACACAATGGGCTTACAGGCTTAAGTGGATCCCTTGCGATCGCCGGTATAACCTAAACTAACCTAAACTAATACTTCTTCTGCTTTACTTGATGAAACACGAGTAAGTCTCTTAGGCACTTTTACTCAATAGTCTCGTTGACAATTTATATGATTCACTGTAATAAGAGCTCCGTTGATTTCTAAAAATAAGTTATTCAGGTGATTTTATAGAAGTATACTATGGAGCCCAGTATATTTTGTTGATGGAATATATATTGCATATGATTTGATAGAGTGCAATTCTGAATTAGTGTGCATATCCACAGAATCGAACAAGACATTTTTAAGTCTATAGAACACTAACTTGCCTCTCCATTCTGATTCATTTATAATAATTCAAGCAATTAAAATTCGGTAACTGTTAATCCAATATTATTTGCTTTAAAATCGTAGAATATATTACTTTTCCGATATGAACTTAAATTTTAAATATTCATTGTTGCATATACATAATTTGTTATGTTTTATATTAAAGAATATTAAATTATTTTAATTTTCTTTAATTTCACATTTTTTAAACAAAAGCAGAATTAGTAAAAAATGTTCAGTTAATAGCAATTTGGGGGCCAAATCATATTGTACGTAAATATGTCACTCACAGAATATGAATTTTATCATAAAAACTTTTTAATAAGCAAATAAAAATTAAATGTAAATAAAAAACGCGAATCTTTGTCTAATTATAATTAAATTTTACAGATGAGCGAATCTACTTTCTATTTCAAAAGGACATGCTCAGGTGGACCCCCACAAATGTTATTCCAATTGTTGTTTTTTTGGTGCTTTGCTTATTAATCACACTTGATGTTTAAAATTGCTGAAGTCGAAAAATTAAGAATTAAATTTTAATAGATTAAAATCTACTCCTCTATAGGAAACATAATTTGTGTATTTTTGTTTAAACAATGGAATTGTTAATTAAATTTATATACATTGTTATGAAGATAAGTTGACCAACAATGAACATACTTCTGTCATATCGGCAGTAGCATATATCTTGAATATCCTATTATGAGAGAATGCTTTAGCGAAGTGAAGTTCAAATTCATTAATATGTTAATGTTATATTTGTGTGTAAATGGTTGGAGTTATGTATACTTACTAAAGATTCTATACATATATATTCTATTATAACTAATAAATTTCACTAATCAATAGTTACGCTAATTCATATACCTTCTGCTGAAAAAGTATCCGGATTTTGTTGTTTAATAACTACTTCTTAAGTAATAGACCTTTTTCAAAAATTTTTTTTTATGTTGGTACACCCTTTCTTGACATATGGTACAAATTTGAGCGCCATATGTCAATTAGTTTGTTTACAGCAGCTGTTTATGTGAGACTACCTCAACTGCATTTAGCGATTTTTGCTATGGAAAATTCTTGTTGTACGCGATTTTTGACCATACAAGGCACCACTGTCATCGTTCAGGCACCATATTTGCCAGATCTGGATCTGTGCGACTTTTTCCTGTTCCCGAAGCTCAACAAATATGTCCTGAATTGTCGTCAGAGAAAAATCTATTGTTACGGAGAATAATTTTCCATATACATATATTCGAAATAGCTTAACCTATGTTGGTTTAACACATTTGAGTTATACATGTTTATCCGTTTCCATTCATGACTTCCTCTCAAATACCTCACTACCTATCCGTAGTTTTATTTATCACCAATTAAACACATTTTCTCTCAATACTTATAATTTTAAAGGAAATAAAGCATTTAACAAGTATCCAAATATATCTAATATTTTTTAGTTGCAATCAGCTCCAAGCTAAAGGTAATTTGGATATCAAAGATCAAAGTCAAAAACAACATGAATGTACACATTTCGAAATTAATAAATTGTGAAAATATACCTATTTTTGGTCATATAACCAATTTAAAAAATGTGTTTCTCACTTACATACAGGAATTTATTAAAAAAACCATAATTTAAAAAAAAAATATCTTCCTATATCAATCGACTGCAAAAGCAGTTGGAAAGATCTACTACACCCAAAAAAACTTGGAGCACATCTCACCGCTCGAAACGCACATTTCAAATTATCCTAATCTTAAGTCCGTAATAAAAACTGTAATCCTAACTGAAAATCATAATCATATTGATTGCAAAATCGTAGGAGCACACCTTAATGTTAGGTAAACATAATTCAAATTCAACTATTCTTAAAAATTTAATTTTCGAATACCCTGGTTCGTTTTCGAAAATGAATCTTCTTCTTAAAGTTGAATATGCAACAACTAAGATATTAATTAAAAAATATTTACAATTATCAGTTTTAGATCAATAGTGGAAATTTAACCTCTTTTGTCTTTCGAAACATATATATATGATTATTTTTTTAATTATTGTTCTTATTTTACGAGCACTTCATTATATCATGGCATTGAGGAATTTTGCATTGAATTTTATCTGAATTTGGTTGAGAAATTATTTGGTGGTAAATAATGAACTGAATATGGGTGCCATTTATTTATGGTTGTAAGAAGACTTTTACTTCCATTAATTACTTCGACGACATTAACCATAGTTCCATTTCAGTACTGAACGTTAAGAAAATCTTTCTTTTCTTTTAGTAATTTGCTTACTTTTTGGTATAATGTGAAATAGTCGAATATGATGCTGAGGATCAAAATGAGTTGAATTTTTGGCGAAATGATCTCTTAAAAATAATGTAATGTAAATGATGCATTCCGTGATATAAAATACCAAGAATGGTGTGTCTTTAATCATAGACTCATTGAAATCATCTAATACTCAAACAATATTCCTTGTTAAAAGTTTTGCTCGCGGAAGAATTTAATTGTGCACAATACAAAGATAATCGAAGATAATCGAAGATCCTGATAGTCAGAAAGTATTGTTTGATAGATCCCAGCGAGACGTTGTTTTTTGCATCAAACAAGATTTCATTCTTTTCAACGTATGAGACAAATGTTAAACGAATTGACGAGGTCTTTAATTGTCAATCGAAACCAAAACTTTTTTGTTGTGCCCCAAATCTTTCATATTTGTACTTTGTCGTATCTTTAATGACATGATTTTCATTAAATGATATTGATGGTCGTCCAACGCTATTCGTGTTTCCAAAGCTCTGTCTGACTTTTTGGAATTGTTTATACAATTTGTAAAAATTTTTTTATTTTATTTATTAAAAGTAATAAAATTTTGTTGTTTTAATTCACTACTGTTCGAAAAAACCTCTCTATTAAAATAATAATGACTTAAATTTCTTGACTGATTTCTTTATTTCTTTCCTCATAATGAGACTATAAAATCAAAATTAATGTCTTATTAAATATACATTATATTATATTTATTCCGTAAAGAGGAACATGGTAAATAAACAATTTTACAGTGGAAAGTTTTTATATGTTAATAAATAATTTATATTCAAAAAAAATAATAACTAATAAATACAATTTCGATTTATGCTTAAATATGGAAACATATTAGGAATTGAATTAAATAATGTATTACAAGCAAAGAATTTTCTATCTCTGAAGATCTTTAAACGAAATTTTCTTCATAAATTGAAACTTTTTACCGAGGGTTTTTATTAGGTATACTTTTCTTTAAAATTCAAAATTCTGTATCTCGATAAATATTGAAAATCGATTAATAATAGTTTTACCATTTGTTTAACCATAGTATCAGAGCATATGCTGAATTTATACAATTTAAATCTGAACATTTTAGATATTACAGAATTTCTTGCCTTGTCAACCCTACAATAATACACTTTTTAACAGTTATGTTAATATCATACTTCTGTTAATTAGGAAACTGTTCTTAACAGTGTTTTGGATTGTCATGGACATTAAACTTTAAGGGATGAAAAGCGTAACAGTTTTGTGCTGCTTTTTAGCAGAAAGTCAACTGGCATGAGATTTAAATAATGATGTGTAGTTGTTATTATAAATAATAGAGATAATAAAGATTGTTGAAATAATTTTATACGTAACAAATTTTAACGTCCAATACAAAATGCGAATTTTAATTATCAGTTCCGGCAGTGCACGTTGAACGGTCATTCAATGCGAAGGGTGGAGTGTGCAAGGCATTTTAAGTTTGTGTCATTTACCGGAGAGTAGGCAATGCAAAAGCAAGTAACTGACAGTAAATGCATTCTTGAAATGCATTTAAAAAAATTAAATATATTTGCAAATAAATAAAATGAAACAAAACAATTTAAAGTGCTGATTTGAATTCAGAAAATATTTCTGAATTATGTGATTGCTCTGTGACCTTTTAAAATCAAAATAGATAAGAAATAAAGAATTTTTCGGCGTAAATTTAGAATTGCATTGAATAAAGCAATTTTGTTTTCGAAGTTGATTAAAAATTCTAAGTATAGTGTGTTACTTTAACATTATTTTCGTGTTATTTCTGTTATTTTGTGATTTTAATCATTGAATGAAATTCTAAAGATCCGTGAAGTAAATCATTGCAGTTTTGTTCTTTGAGTTTGTCAACTTGAGCTTAGACACTATCGTGCTTGCCCGTTCCAATTGCTTTAGAGAAAGACCTTATGCTGCATACCTATGGCTGTGCTATTTTAACACAAAGCAGCAACACTTTATTCCTTGAAAGAAGTTTGGAGGAAATTTAATCAATATGGAGTAAAAATTCTTACTCTCAGTAACTGTAACTGTGCGACCCGTATAGTAATATTCAACTTTTAGACTTAATTGTGTGTACGTAGCGGGCAAAAGTGCTTAGCAGTGTCGGAAACTTTGAAATTTACTTGAATTTTTTTATTGTTAAGTTCGCATTATTATTGAAATAAGTTGAAAAAGTTTTGAAGGACCGAAGAATATGTACTGAGAAAATATATAAAATGAATTGAATTAAATGTTAAAAAAATAAAATTTGTTCAATAAAATTGACTGTGAAAATAGCGAACGGAAATGAAACGGAAAATGAAAATTCAGATTGTATCGCTTTGAATAATTGAATTTTGCAATAATTCAACTTCTGCTCATCGATTTCAGTATCGAAAAGGTAACGACAAACAGAAAGTGTTCAATAATTTATTTATTTTATGTTTTACATTGTAATTATTTTTTACATACAATGGCTCAATGGCATTTAAAAATTTCTACCGTTCTATTAGTTAAGTTAAGGCAGGATTTTTTGTTCATAGTTCTTGCATATAAAATTATGTCTACTATGTGCGCTAAACGTATCCATTCACACACACTCCTACACATGCATGCATACATACTTATATTTATAGTACATTTTTATTTTTTTGGAGAGTCCTTTCGTGTAGGTTTATGTCATTGCTAATGTGCTCTCATATTTTTATCTCTTTCTTTCTTGCGCCAAACAGTGCACGCATTAAGTGCGTTGTCCTCTTCGTGATTTTAATTCTGAAATTTTGTTGTTGTAGAGTTGTAAAATCAAAAAGAAAAAACGTTAACTGTAGTAAAATGGTTAAGAAGTAAATTTAATATCCATTAAAATTTTGGTGGGCTAACACAAGCGGCGCGTAAAATCAGTCAGCAGAAGAGAATTTACGAATGCATTGAACGTGTCCTTATATGATATACTTTGTTGCTCTTCAACTTAATTTTTTCTCTCTCTCTCATTAAAAATTGATGTGCTTAATTGTATTTGGCGCGACTTTTTTGCTTGCCATGCTTTCCTTTATGTTAGCCTGCCTTTGCTTGCTTTCCTGCGGAGGATGAAGCAGTGGGGATTGTGGGTGTAAGGCGGATGATTGTGTGATGATGTATTTGTATTTCTGCTGCTCTAAGTATTATAACGGATAGGATTTTTTGTCATATTATTATATTTCTATGGTGAGCTGGCAGCACTTTGCGTTATGCTTTGTTTTATAAAACAATTGGGCGCCATGTCCTTCCACTTTACACAACTCCAACCAACAATAATCACTTGCTTCATGCTTTGGAAGTGGTTATTTAAGTTTTGGTTTCCTATACGTTAAAGTAATCTACAGCTTTCAAATGCAGTCAGAGTTAATACTAGTACCTTAATCACCTATCTTCCAAATTTGGATATTCGTTTAGAAATATTTACTCATCCAGCCAAGTATGTGTGTGGGCTTGTAAGTGTGTATTTTTAATGAAATCAACGTGTCATAAAGTTCAAAAATATTTTTTCGTCCTTGCCGTTGAACGTTTTTAATTTTCAATGCATCCTAAACGTTTCTGAAGGTGGCTCCCACTCGCAGTTCCCTTCGTCTTCATGTTGGCTTTGAAAGATGAAATTTTTTGTCGTCTTTGTCGTTTATGCCGTTAAGCTTGTTTGTCTCTGCTGATTGTTTGATTTTGTACAATTTTCCTTCTTATTTTGAAAGATGAAGAAACTTTTTAATAAAGAAATTTGTACGTTCATATTTACAAAGCCTCTGTATATTTACAGCTCTTCATCATTCTTAAAAGGAACCTTTTTTGAATACTGTACTTGGAAGAAATTTCTTAAAGTTTTCTTGATGTCGATTTATATAATTAAAATTGCAAACTTAATGATTAAAAATGTTCACAATTTAAAACTTAAAAATAATATATATTTATCATTTTAACGGGATATGTTAAATGTGTACTGAGATAATTAGTTAAGATTATAGGGTCATATTATACCCAAATTAAACATGAGAAATCAATATTAAAAATATTTTTTAATAAAAATATGGTTTTAGCAATAATTTTTTAGTTAAACAAATTCTCATAATGATTTAAATGACCAAAATCTATTTACTAATAATTTACTATTTACTAATTTACTATTTGATTTGCAATAATTAATTTATTAATAATTAATTTATTATTAGTAATAATTAATTTATTATTATTAATAATTAATTTATTATTATTAATAATTAATTTATTTATTTTTTATTATAGATTCGATAATAATCTATAAATTTTCTTCTATATGCAATAATTAATTTACTATTTCTTTATTATGGAAAGATTTTAGCCCTCCTCCTCCAGTGATAGTTCATTGGTTATTTTACATATAAATGACGAGTTTGTTAACCGAAGCGAGTGAAGATTTGAGTTTTAGTTATTAACTTATAATTATTTTTTCTATCACTATAAACATTTTTATTTAATTATTGATGATGTTTATTATTATATATTTATTATTAAAAAAAAATAAAATATGAAATTAGTAGATATTTCCTATATAAAGACTGGTTCTTCATTTATTAAAAATCATATTGAAAAATAATAGTAAAAATAATTGATAATTCAAAAGTCACTGAAAAATGTTTTCCTGTTGGCTTATTAGTTAATAATATTTTATTAAAAAGGGATCTTTTATATATATTCCTTTTATTTTTGGAATATTCTAATAACTCATTTATAAAAATATTCTAATTTTAAATTAATCATTGTTTAATTATATGATTATTTAGAATGATTTAATTTCAATCCAATATTTTGCGTATAAAACCAATTATTTTGAAATGCAATTCATGGATTTTAGTCATGCCGACAATCCAACTTGAAGTCGGATGCTTGCTGATGAGTATAGCATTGAATATATTCAACAATACTGTATGATGGGCTCCAGCTGTTCTGCGACCTCTATAGAATTTGTCAGTCAACAACATATTATTCTTCTTCTTCTCCGTTGACCATTCTTCCTCTTCTTAGATATGAATCGTCCTTATCCTCGTTCAATAGCCAGCTAAACGAATAGTAGCTAGCTGTCGCGAGTTGGTAGCATTGAATGCTTTCTCATCGTTGGTCTCCTGATCCTTCTACCGAAAATAACGGCGTTCTTTGCTGTATTGCTCACCAGCGGATACCGAATGGAACACTCTTCTGACCAGAGCTTGTATCATTGCCATCCTAAAATATGGATAGTAGGCTATTTTTCAGCTGTCAGCATACTTTTTTTCTCTTTAGAAAAGTTTTACATTTTAAATTGACAATTTTGATTGTTCTTTGGATAATCAAATGTTTTTCATTGGGAGTGCAATGAATCAACATCACAAGAATTATAACTTGATTTGCGTTGCTTTAACCGATCTAAAATTGGCTTGAAAATTTTTCAATGATTGGTCCAGTGTTTGCAAACATGTTATTGAATTTTCGGAAACCTTTCTCTTGCTTACATTTTCACGCAATATTTTCTAAATGTTGTCAAGTAAAGTGCTTACTGCCTCAGTAAGCTTTCTGATATTTAGTTCATTTTAATAACATACGATTTGATACTTTTTTTAGATGCTCTTGTTAATGATGGCAATTTTTGGCTGCTCTGAACAGGTTTCAATAACTAGGCTAGCATGTCGTTGATTGAATGCAATTACCCACCGGTTTCTTGTATTATATATTAGATATTATAGTGCAGAGTTCTAGTAAATTATATTTAATGCAGATTTAATGTGCAATAGAGTTTTATTCTTTAAATATAACAATTTTATCAAATGTTTTAATTCACTTACACCAACGTTTGAAGTCTGTCTATGAAAGAAATTGTTAAAAATAATTTGGTTAGTAAAAATAGAGACCATTTTCATTTTAAATACTTACATTATATTGTTATTTTTCTATTCTATCTATCTTTAGTATGAAATTTTAAGTCGTTTTAAATACATTTAAATTTTGTGTACTATTAAATGATGTATTATTTGCCAATTTTAATATAAACTCATATATAATGTACATAATGTAACATAAACTAATATAAATTTCAAATTATATATCAGATTAGATAATATCGGTAATGAAGAAATGTAAACATCGATATACAGTTAAAAACTTTGTATCAATAAAATCATTTATATACATTAAAATTATTTGGATTAAATTTATATCCTTTTTTTTATTCCAAAGAAAATAAATTTTATCATTGCATACTATTTGAAGGGAAATACAATAATTTTATAGCAAATTATAGGTCTTGATAAATATTTTCTAAATCGAAATTCTGATCAAATATGACTCAAACTAGCCCCCATTAATATATAGTAAGCTACTAGCCTTATTTATATCATTTTTCGGTGATGAAAAGTAAATGATATTTATTCCAATATATTTCTGTCGTTCTAAAGTATCACTTTTTTAAGATCGAATATGCACCAACTGCATATCGGACCTGTAAATTTAATTTTTTTTATTAATTTAATTTTTTTTAATAGTTTAATTTTTTTAATTAATTTAATATTTTTATTAATTTAATGTTTTTTAAGTGTAATCTACATTTGAGTACACAATAAACAATATTAATATAATTTTAGAGTGAAAAAAGGAAACAATTAAAGATTAACAAGGGGTTTTAGGATATAATCCATTGATTCAATCGTTTATAATTGATTCAGTGGAGAGGATTAGTTTTGAACTTTGTAATAAAAATACATAAATTTGAATTCATTTTAATTATTTAAATATACATATTTATATATTATGACACAAATTACATCATAATAATTTTGATTACATAATAATCTATTTCGAATAGAAAAGAAACTAATAACACACCTATCCAATACTGCCAAATATCCATCAACAGTGGTTTATAGAAACATCATCAGAAACTGCATCAGGAAATGAAAGCCGTCAAATTTGAACTGTGAAGTAGGGTTCGTAATTTACTTTATTTAATATACTTACTTTGTGTTATCCATTGTTTTTTATATTCTTTTTGAGTATAAATTATAATAAAATACAGATGATGTAAAATATTTTTTTTCTCTAAGATATATGCACTTATTACAAAACTGTTATTAAAAAAAAAGTTATGATGAACAAGACCACTGATGATGGGTATTTGGAAATACTCACAACATCTGTATTGTCAGTCAACATTTTAACTAATTAAAATAATATATAAACATTTTTTGTTGTTGTAGTTCAGTACTTTTCGAAACCTCTCTACCAAATATAGTAGTCTATTTTATATAAAATAGTCACTTCTATTATAATTGACGTTAAATTACAACTTATATAAAAAAATGTTCTCTAATGTAAATAAATAATAAAATTAAACAATAAAACTTTAATTAAGTAAAAATTTTGTGAAAA